AGATGGCGCGATCACATTGCTTTCAACAAATACTAATTGAAAGAATGTTAGTGCCAATATGCAGTTGACATGTCATAACACAAAGACTGCTACCCACAAAAGAAGACACAATGACCATTTAGTTGGCAAATTTCAAATTATATCACAAACATGGGGAAGAATACAATTTTTTCCATGTTGTATCCAATATATAGATATCCAGTGCATCGATGGAACTTTTCAACAGAGCAAGCAGCATGTAGTATGTATTATCTAAAGCCACAAAGTACACGAACTGCCTCTGTTCCAGAAACACACTTGTCTTCAACAAATGGAATTGTCTTCCATACTGTTAACTTCATAGGACCATTATTATTACCTAAATCAACAACATGTTAAGGGTTCTTCTTTGTTATAATTCTATATAATTCATAAAGGAAAAATAAAACATGCTAACCTTCACTTGTGACATCCTTTTCTGTGCAAATGGCAGCATAATGAGAACCAGCCAACTCCAGGAGCATAAACTGCCAATTGCTTGTTAGATCACTGGGATCGTCAAACATATCCACTGATATTTCAGATGCCTGAAATAAAGTATGTTTATCAATAAAAGCATTCTCTCAAACTCTAAGGTATACATATATTCTTTGAACGGAGCTATTATTAAACTGGGAAAGCAACAGAAGAGGCTGTGGTGCTGGTTTAAGAAGTTGTGGGTAAAATAATCAGGAAAAAGATTGCAAATTGGTAAAGTGTCCTGTCGGATTAAATTTCGTTCAGGCTGTTTCAAGAGCTCAAGTATTGGCTAATTTTACACGTGCTTCTGTTACTTGGCATCTCTTTTGCTGAATTTGAAAAACTAGCTAAACCCGCAGATCACCTCTACGACAGGTTGAACCAATCACCATTTGACATTCTTTTTCCAAGTCAATAATATCTTACTAATAGTACACCAAGAGAGAGTTATGTATGTATGTACCGATTAATCCATCACCATTTAACACAAAAAATTCTGTCTCTTTCAGTTCAAGTGTAAGCCCTTTCGAAATAGTTTATTTATTTTGGATTAAGGAATGCTCATTTGAAAAAGTTATCAAACTTGTTCGAAAGCAACTGTCTCATACCTCAGTATTTGAATCTCGAGACAGGTGAGGGCTTTCTCCAATAGCACTCCCAAAACGAACTGTAAATGTCTTGAAAGGTGCACCCGAGAAACCTCTCCCCAATGCTTTCACATATGCCTCCTGCAAGCAATCTATTTTTTTAGAGGCTCAATTTAATAGATAATAACAAGAAAACTTTGATTCTTCGCTTTCGACCTAACATACAATCAGTAAAGATAACACATTTATTCAAGCAGATAGATAGGTTAAAAGGCGTAAAAGCCTTCTCTAGATAAGCTTGCTAGCTGTAGAGTAACTTTCACATATATGTGTATTGATGAGGCAGTTTGACCTTGATGCTTGCTTCCTAAACTGCACCTGGAAGTCATACACCAACATCCAAGCAAGATAGACCGCAAGTGAATGCATTCTTAAAAGCTAGCAATGAAGGATCTAGCACTTCTGGGGTTCTTTCTATTCTGTAAAAATAGTATGCCGCTGCTAACTTTTGGTTGTGCTTTACTACTTTTTATACATTACCAAAGCACTGAGGTAGTGGGCCTAAGTGATGTCCATAGGCAGACAGCTAATATCGGTAAAGTACATAGGTGTATGTTTTGCAGAGGGACTTCTGTATGAAGTATGAACTGCAGAGCACCTTTTTTCATAATAAGTAATTTCCTGTATGAATGTCCTTAACTCCTTATTGGTATTTAATGACAAAAAGGTTATTTCTCCTCTTCTTGCTCGTCCAGCCACCTGCTTGTTTCAACTTCCAGACCAACAATCGAGATACTTCTTTTGCATAAGCTACTCTTTTGATAGAATCCTCACATTTTCCCGGGAAATATGAACCTGAACTGCAGGTTCGCAACCTCCTCAACAGTTCAACAAGTTATTAGTGCTAAAATACCAGAATACGTGGAGAAAGCAACAACAACAACGACCCAGTTAAATCCCACTAATGGATCTGGAGAGGGTAGTGTGTACGCAGACCTTACACCTACTCCAAAAGGGTGGAGAGGCTGTTTCCGAAAGACCCTCGGCTCAAGTAGACGAAAAGAGGCAATATATCAGTATATACGTGGAGAAAGCAAATCCCTTTAAAGTATACACTGCAATTCCATCCAAGAAAGTCAATTTACGCCTTCTAGAAACTCACATAAATCTTCTTTATACCTCAGAAGTTAACCCTTTTCTTTGGCAAATCGAATTTTACACAGAAAAGGTTATTCTATTCCATTCATCAATCAGAGCCCCTTTGCCAATGTAAGATATCAACATCTTCTATTTTCATTTACATGAGGGAAGTTTTTCAATTACTCCTCCAACTAAGTCATTCTGGCTTTTTTTCTTTTTCTTTTATATGCTGGTATCAGGCCCAGCTTGCGTGTACCTCGACTATGGGAGGGGTTCAAGATGAGCTTAAATGGAGCGGTATCGTCAGTGGGAACTCATATCGGACGCCGGCTTGCTTGGGTTGAGGCGTAGAAGTTGTAGTTGTTGTTGTTACTATTGGAGGGATTCGAAAAAGCAAAATACAAATGAAATGGCCTATTCTGAAAAGTTTTACCTTTGCTTTCCCCTTAATAATAAGATAAGCTCTATATCTGGCAGAATTGCCCAACCCTTTCTTTTCATGCATGTTTTGCATTGTTTAGATGGTAGAAGTGCATGATGTTCAGACAACATTCACTTGCTTTATATTGCTAAAAGACAGAAAATAAACTCAATTTACAGCAAAAACTACAGCTTGAAAGATTATGTTTCAAAAGGAAACAAACAAGAATGACTAAGTATTGATACAAGCATCTAAAGTTGTACGAATGACTTCCTTTTAAATACTGGAGATAAATAAGGAGGCAAATAAACCGCATGATTTAAACAATCCATAGCTTCACACGACTATGACTAAGTATTGATACAAACTCTAAGACTTTTTATTGGAGTGACTTGTTAAGTAGAGCAGATTAAACATGGTCATCACTAAAAGAAACTGAGACAATAATCACGAAATCATATAAATTAACCTTTAGTGTCCATAATTTGATAAACTCCTGATGCTGAAGATGGGGATCTTTAATAGCAGTCAACACGTGAAGTTCATGTTCAGTGAAGTATCTTCTAGCTAAAGTCAAAACATTGTGCTTTACAGGCCTTTGCTTTGCTTCCACGTCAATACCAATCTATAAATAAAGGAATAAGTGATTTACCACGCAGCTGAATGTCTGTATACACTGAGTTGAGGGACCAGAATATTTACAGGAGAATCTATTGTCACGCCACAAGCTATCAGAGATGATGTATGCGAGATGTTGAAATGCAAAGGAGGAGGCTCACAATGATCACAGTGTTGCCAATCTACCTATAGACATAATCAGATAAAGTTAATGGCACATAAACACGATACATAAAGAGACAATACGAGCATACAACTGGAAAGCTACTGAAAGCTCAAATCACACCAACCTCAGGCTTCCCATGAATGCTCTTCCTAAACTTGAGGGATCTGGGCTGGATCGAAGAATTTATCTGATCTAGGGAAAACCAACGCTTTCAGAGCTATAAACAATTTATAGTTCTACAAACACACAACGACAACACAGTAGTGATAACATAACCTATTACAGTGCTGAATCTAACATTGAAATGAAACAATTCAAAAAGACATTAGCATATCCTTAGGTCAGTTTCCAGTTCTTGATTAACAGCTAAAAGCTTCTAAAATGAGAAATCACTGTGCAATGGAAGAAGAGGGCCTTGGAGCAACGGTAAAGTTGCCTCCGTGTGAGCTATAGGTCACGGGTTCGAGCTGTGGAATCAGGCACTGGTGCTTGCATCAGGGTACGCTGCCTACATCACATCCCTTTCCGGGACCCAGAGGCGGATCCAGGATTTGAAGGTTATGGGTTCCTAGCGTAATCTCAAATTAATATAAAATAATAACTGGGTTCACAATTAGATATTTACAAATATTTAGAGGATTTCTTAATATAAATACAGGGTCTACGCGGGTTACTAGGTTCCCGGAAACCCATACTCAATGACCTAGGTCCGCCCCTACCCGGATCCCTGCGCGAACGCGTGATGCTTCGAGCGCTGGAATGCCCTTTTAATGTGTGCGATGGAACAAATATAGATATCAGAATAACTAGAATAATTGCATTTACATTAAATTCTTCTACTAAAATTTTATTACCACCCACAAACGGGTGCATTAGCTTTACAACAAAATGGATATTGCTTCTACTAAAAGTTTATTCTAACTCATCTTCCATAAAATCATTTTTTTTTAAAGTAAAATGCAAATAGCAAACAAATAATATCAAAAAGCTCAACATAGTATCTTACATCTTGCAATGGTGGTTCTAACCAACGTACGAGCGAGTAAAGCACTTTTCCTCGGCTCATCTCCGCGCATACTAAACACATGTTCTTTCTCACATGGTGATAGAATTTCCATATATTTGTTCAGAAGAGATTCACCCTTCACTTCATTTGGTATTACATACCAAAGATGTGTCTCCCTAACATTCAAAAGCATTAAGCAAAACCATCAAAAACAATATAAAAATTGCATCTTAAAAACAAAAGGAACTAAATCATACTTTGGAGAAGGAAGTGGAACGGGAGCCAAAGGGGTTGAAGAACTGAAGAATTTACTATCACTGAAACAATTCAACCGCATTCTGTAAAACCCACGTGGCATAGACGAATTTTTTCTGCATATAACAGATAAAAATTGAATCTTTTCTGCATATAACAGGTAAAAATTTAATCTTTTCTGCATATAACAGATAAAATTGAACCTTTTCGGTGTGAAATATAAAAATTGGATCTTTTTTCTTCTCTTTGACAAGCTCTATATTACGAAAATTTGAAAGAATTCAAAACGAAGCCCCCTATTAGTTCAAAAAAAACGAAGAGAAGAAGAAGAAGCCCTTTTCACATACCAAGCAAATATTAGAGAGTTATAACTTGTTTGGATGGTTGTTGTTATCTAAAACAACTTGTTTTGATTGTTTCATTCAAATTGATCGTATTGTATTGTTAAATTAAAAAGTTCCATTTTTTGAAATAATTGATTTGGTATGCTGGGATTGTTTCCTATTTTTCTTTTCAATTATACCTAACTTATTACTCCACAATTCTATTTTAACCTTTACCTTTTTTTCTATTTTAACTCCAAATCTCAAACCTATAACCTACTTTGTTTTTTATCCAAAACTTCTACCGCCAACACTAAAGGTGTTTTGCGGCCTTCTATTTTATTTTTTCTCCTAATTTGCTTTTAACTCAATTCTAATTAGTTGTGCTCCTTTGTTTTGCCTTCTTCTGTCTCGCTTCTTTGTGCTGCTTTCTTAAGGTGTTTTGCCTCCTTTTGTTTTGTTTTAAAAAAAAAATATTTTTATGCATAATTTTTGATAAATTTAATATTTAAACAATTTAGGGTATTTTAGAAAACTTATTATTTACAGTGCAGTACGATACAATCAAACCAAATAGCAAAATATTATTTAACAATAACAACAAACAATACAATCTATTCAAACATTGTATTCATAAAACAATACGATACAATACAATATATTATAAAATGATGGGAACAATAATCCAAACAGAGCGTTAACCGCAGTTTGCTGTTTTCAACTAAATTGCATATTGACCCCGGAAGTATATGAAAGTTGAAGATATTACCCACAACAATGGATGTTTTAGGCACTAAACCCCTTTGCCCTTTAATGTTACACTGTTTCACGTTTATAAACTCAATTTTGTACTATTGCACTCATTGTGGGGGAAAAAGATTAAGAAGAAGAAAAAATGACTGTGTTATAAATAGTAGTTTATTTATAGTGAATGCCTATATTTTAGAGAGATTTTAGGGTTTGTTACTTGGTGGCTAAGTCACTTTTTCTCGTATAAATAGAGGGATTCTATTCATTGTAATTCTCTCCAAATCAATAAGAATTCTGTCTCTCTACTTTTCTCTGCAACACTCTTCTTCTTCTTTCATTGTTTTATAACACGTTATCAGCACGAGATTCTAACCAATTGAGTTGAAGCTTTGGGATTGAGCATATTGATTGTCAATTGTTCCATGAACTTCCTTCATGATTAAATTCTGGATTTAAGGTAAGTATTTTACTTACTTTTCCTTTTTAAATTCTTGACATTCTATAATTTGATTTTAAATACAAGCAAAGACGATAAATTCTGATTGTAACTCTAATGGAATTTGAAAGAAATTATAACCACCCAAAGTGGTAAAAAATTTCTGCCTTGCCATGATCAAATTCATGTATGATTGTGGGCAAAGAATTGAAAAACCGTCCCATTGAATTTGCTCCATTCTCATTCCCTTAAGAGAATGTGATAGCAGTATGTGATAAGTCTGAAAGAAGACAAAATTATTACTATGAATGTATCAATGGATGTGGACGTGGAAATAGACGAAATTACAATCGTCATTGTTGTGGTTATGAGAACAATAAGGATTCTCAAAATAATCCTTCACTTTGTGAAAGTAATATTTGTCATCGATTTGATATGAGATTTTGTAAAGCACATATAGATGATTATGGTCCATTCATGATGTGAATGTGACAACATATGATTTATGAATACATATTCATTGTGGGAAGAATATGAACGTGCTAGTGGTAGTGAATATACCACACTCACATCTAGAATGAGGTTTGAGGAAAAATAAAAAAAATCATTATTATGGCATGAATGGTTATTGATCAGGTACCTATTGTGATTAGCCAAAATATTATGGTAATGTGATTATTACATGGCAAAAGTAATAGAAGCAACATATCTTGCCTATAATAATTTTGACCATGACCATAATGATATAACTTTCTCTTTAAAAGAGATATTCACCATATAGATGTTGATGAACATGTGGTAGTACCAAATTAATTGAGAGCTCTGGAAGAGCCAATTATTACTATTTTGGAGAAATACAATTGATTATCATGTCAATTTATTGTGTCGTAGTAAGTCTCAAAGAAACTTATTGAGTTTCTAAAGTATTCGCGAAAGCGATTGGTTATATTGAGACTAAAAATAAAGGAAAGATTTAATATCTTCCATTACTACAACTTGTAGCCCTTGACAATATATATGTAAAAAGTTGCCCGCTTTATTCTCCAGTTTGTACTACATAAATAAAAGAATACCACAATTAAGTGGATGTTTATTGATATAACACCCCATATCATAATAAACTTGGAGTTTATTGATAATTGCACACGTCATGGTGTAAACCTGAACTTTATCAATATTGATAATTTATTCAGTTGCCATAATTGGTTTAGCCATGTAAATTTAAGTATGATGTGCAAAATAAAAGAGAATTCACATGGATAATTATTAAAGAACTAGAAAATTCTGTACGAATTCCCTTATGTTGTTCTCATTAATTTATAGACCAATTAAAATTGGGATTAAATCCGATGAATACTGGAAATATCAAAGGTGAATATGGGCTCATTCACATGCCATGTATACCACATAAGATGCATCTATGAGATGGTTACATGTGCAATTATTATTAACCTGCAACCTGGTGTTTGCGAGGTAACTTGCTCAATAATTTAATTTAGAGATAATTTCTAGATTTTCTATTCAAGATAGTTTATTTGAATAAGTTGGTTTACATCACAACTGGTTTAGCAAGATGATTTATTGAGTGCCTCCACTTAATAGCTAAACTATTGCTTATGAGAACAAAGTTATCTATATCAGTTTGATATAGGTTATATACGAAAGTATATTACATTCTCACCTCAAAAGTGGTTCAGGGTTAGGAACCAAATAATTTCATCTTATTATTATTGATGTGCGGTGCATATTTTGATTGACACCATAACACACAAAGGTGAGTTTCCAAAATTGAGGAAGAAAGTTAGTTTTTCTAACATGAGGGGGAGACAAGATAAACAGTTGAGAAATAGTTACGTGGAATGAATTATCATTTGTACATCTACATCCTCGAATAGATAATATGAACTTGAAGTGCATAAAAAGATAATTCATCTGCAATATATTGCAAAGCATGCCAGAAGCATTTGCTGTCCCCAAAGAAAGTAACTATATTCTCAATGCAAATACTCCTATTAGACTTTGTCCTAGAAGGACAAAGTCTATAGTAAGCTTAAAGCGTATAGACAAATCGGTTTCAAATAAAATTCTTAATAAAGAAGATAAACAAATGATCTAAATGATCAGTAAGGACGCAAGTGATCTAGAAGACCACATGACAAAATACTTTATAAAATATCAGGAGAGATTCAGGTACCTGAAAATATGAATGAAGAGATCTCAATGTTATGTCTTTATGAAAAAATGTTGGAACCGATATAAAATGTTTGTCGACGACATCTATGATAGCGCTAAATATATATGAGGATCTTAAGTCTGGAGAAATAATTTCGAATAGAATTGGTTTCATATGAAAGACATGTAGTTTTGAACATGTAGTTCAAATACTTGAAAGTATAAAGCCAATGATGTGTGCAATCAGTTTACGATATCTTATTTGTCTAGCATGACATGGAAACTTGATATGCATCTAATTAAAGTCTATTATATGACTTAACTTATATAACAATCCTTGAAGGATTTACATCGCTTGAAGCATATACAATTCTTGGTCCTGAAGTACCATATCCTAAGTGTTATTTGCGCACATATGTATCTTGCTATAACTATTAGCATGATAATGTGATAGCGAGTATTTTCAATGTGCAACATATTCACTCTGCCGACGTCAACCTTCAAGAAGCTAGTGCACAAGATTGGAATGTGAAGGCTAAAAGATGTAAATTGATTATCTCATCAGGGGGAGTTAATACGCGTTGTACTCTTTTTTTCTTACAAAGTTTTGTCCCATTGGGTTTTCCTTGCAAGGTTTTTAACGAGGCAACCAGAAGGCATATTGTTAGATATGTGTACTCTTTTTTCTTTACTAGATTTTTTTCCCACTGGTTTTATTTTAGTTAAGGTTTTAACGAGGCACATTATCTGGTGAATAGACATTCAAGGGGGAGTGTTATAAATAGTAGTTTATTTACGGTGAATGTCTATATTTTAGAGAGATCTTAGGATTTGTTACTTGGTGGCTGAGTCACTTTTTCCCCTATAAATAGAGGGGTTCTATTCATTGTAATTCGCTCCAAATCAATAAGAATTCTATCTCTCTACTTTTCTCTGCAATACTCTTCTTCTTCTTTTATTGTTTTATAACAGACTGCATCTATTGCTCCTGCATGTATATTACAAAAATAGGGGTGTTCATAATTCAATTGGTCGATTTTTGGTTAAAATGGAATCTAACCATATATATTGTACCAATTTATCGGTTTGGCCGTTATCAATGTTTGTTTGATTTGATTTTCCTCGATTTCCTTTTAATAAAATCAAACTAAATTAAATATCGTCAACTTTTTAAATTTCAATTCAAACAAAATTAAACGAAAAAATATATTAAATAATTGATTTGTTGCATTTTTCGATTTGGATCGATTTTTCACCCAATTGTAAGCACTAGCTCCTAGTTATTTTGTAAACACCGTCTCTCCTGAATCATATGACATTTCATAGTTTAATTCCTTTTTTCTTTCACAAAACATTTGATAGATAACAGTAACACTATGTACTATACATTAGTGAGCTCAAATAATAATTCCATTTGGCTGCGATTTTTTCATACGCTTTTGATATATTTGTATCTATAGATTAAAATTGGGGTTTTGACACAGTTACCCACAAAAACAAAACTATTTATCCTTGTCTATCTATTTGTTTTCCTACCCATAAACTAATTACATTTCCTACCCATAGGAGGTATTGTGGTAAATTTTTTCTTTATTCTCCAATTCTTTTTTATTTCTATGCTTCTTTTCTTTTCTTTTTTTCTTTTTTTTTCTTTTCTC